AGACAAATGAGATCCAAATCATATTTCCAAATTTAGTTTAAATGAATTTTAAAATATTTGAATTTATATTTGAATGAGTGTAATAGATGAATAATCAATCATTTTTTATATTTCACTCAACTCTAAGTAAATATAAGAATTTAAAAATTCATTCTAACTAAATTTGGATAAGAATATCCTCACCTATTTTTTCCAAAGGTAGTGATATTAAATTTTATATGAGGGCATGCATGTCATCCATTCATCTCTTCTTCATCAATCTATGATATTATATCTGTATTATTAAATTTAGAATTATTCAAGAATCACACTTAATTCTGCTAAGAATCTTGAGTTTAATAAAGAAATAGGAAGTATTAAAAATGAATTATACCAATAAGATGCTCTAAATTTTTTTCGATAACAAATTTGAGTACAAAAGATCGTATAATTTGAGCTCAGCTTTTGACCCTCTATTTATAGATTTGAGTTGGAGCATGAACATTACATAATTAGCACACTACAGGAAAATCCCCTATTACCGGCGATTTTTCCAGCTGAAATTGGTTAATTTATGGCGGAAATTAAGATTTCTAACGGCTTTCCGTCGGAAATTTTTCCGCCGGTAAAAGCGGTGTAGGAAATGACAACATGCAGCTAATTTCCTGTGGTAACTTTTTCTGGCGGAATAATGCTGGAAATCTGTATAAAAAATAGTCATACATATTCCGCTGGAAATATGTTGAAAAGAAGTAGAAAAATAGTCCGCCGGAAATCCATCGGGAAAATTTGTCAATAATGAACGATTTTCTTGTAGTGTTAATATGTTATACATAAAATAAGGGAAAAATGTAATAGTTGTTTAGCTATATTAGAGTATTTAAATCGATAAAATCATAGATAAAACTCCTAAGAAATTATTGACTTTGTCTGTATTGAATAATTGCTAGGATCGACATTCATAAATGATTGGCCTCTCAATGCAAGAACAAAAGTTAGTGGCTTATCAGCGCCGTAGTAGGTACTTAACGTGCTTGTTTGTTCAGCCTAGTCGTCTAGCTCGGCTAAAAAAAGGTTAGAAAAATAAAATGGACAACTTAATTAGTCGCTTATCAGAGCCGTTTCAATTGACTAATCGCAGTCCCATGTGCCTATCACCATAGAGCTGAATTAAAAAAAAAATCATAGTGTAGTACTCATGTTTAAGAACAAAAAGATTGACCCACGAAGGTTTAGGATTGCTGGTGGGCGAGTACGGTTGGGAACCCCCATCCCTGGTTTGAATTTTCTCTACTACGTACGGCCTCTCCTTTTCAGTGGGGCAAATCAAGTGTGGGTCCGATGCCGGTGGATGTCATAGCTAGGTTCTGCCGATAGATTAGTTACATGGTCCAGAGCTATTTTTGGAGTGGCAACAAGTAGATCCCCTGTTCCAAAAAAAAAAAAAAAGATCGGTGTGGTACACCATTTGATCGATTTGATTATTATTATTATTATTATTTTCCTTGGTATGTTCTTCTCTCTGTTAATGCATTCATATTAATATTTTTTTTTACATTTGTGTTTCTCTGAAAATAAAAAAATAATTGGTTTAGGATGTTTTTGCTTGTTTTTCTAAGAATGAGGTATATAGCAATGTCGACTATATGCCAAAAGTTTGGACAATTAAAATTGGTTTCAACAAAAAAATATATATTTAGATTGATTGGAATTGATTTCAATCATCCAGAAAGAATTACAGGTTGAGATACTATGATACGTCATCTCAAAATTATCTTGAATGAGCACAAATCTCGAGGCAAAAGTTAGTTGGAAACTTCAAAAATTAATTTTGGGAGCATATGAACTCCGATTTCAGCGAGCTTACAGTCAAACTGATGGGCAAGGCCCCGTGGTTTTTTCCCTTTTAGGATTTTCCACGTATAAATCCCGGTGTTCATTTTCTCTTTACTGTTTGTGTGTTAAACTTACGTGTAACGCTCGGACGCGAATTTGCAAACTCTACCGCCGCGTATTTTCGAACACGCAACAAGTTAGACTATATATGTGATGTTATAATGATATTATAAAGAGAATCATCATTCTAAGAAAAGAGATTGGGAAAAAGGAATAAATGATGTGAAAATAAAATGATTATTGCCGCGTGTTAGATGTTGAGTAGATCAAGATAAAATTTGATCATTTTATCTACAATGGTTGATTTACATGAAAAAATAATGGGACGTAAAAAAGTGATCGATGGTTCTTGTCTGATAGATTGGGTTTTATTGTCTTTGGATATGGGCTTGAGATTCAAAAAAGCTTAGAGACATAAATAATTATGAAGCTCCATTCAGACAACAAGGCCACTGGACTATGGTCTTTTGACCATTGTTACTAGGTCATGATATTCCAAGCACTATCATCTATTACAGTTGTGAGCCGTCTAACCACTATCATCTAACTATGATCATTTAACCAACGTCATCCGACTATAATCATATGATGTCCATCTGCCCACTACAGTCATCTAACTACAGCTCAACAGTCATCCTCTAACTGTCATCTTCCAAGTATCATTATTCGACCACATCTATTACAGTTTTAAATTTTTGTACTACAAAACTGCTTTAAGAAACAATAAAAAAAGTCGTTCTTCACGAAGCCTAAATATACATAAATTAGAAGAGCCACATCTAGCCAAGAATTAATGAACAAATGGAAGTGAATATGTCAAACAAAAAGAAGAAGAATATCATATGCAATGCAGATCATATTGCAAGAGAGGAACATTTTGAGTGAAGTGAACTAATATTTTCTTATTTTAATGAATTGCTTAAATAGTTATTCACCTCTTATTAAAGGTAAAATTGCAATATTATATATAATTTTATATGATTTTTCTTAGATGTAGAACCATCGATCATATACCATAGAAGGAAGTAGGGCTGTCAATATTTGACACGACACGAAAACCCGACCCGGAAAATCCGGGTTGGACCCGACCCGATTTCAAAACGGGTCGGGTTCGGGTTTGGTATTATTGATCGATGGTTCTAATCTAAAAAAAATCATATAAAAATTAATATATATATGCATTTTACGCTTTAAATAGAGAGGCGGAAATAACTATTTAAGCATTCATTGAAATAGAAGAATATAGTCTTACTTTACTAACAAAATGTCCTCTCTGACAATAATGATCTGCTATGCTAAAAGATATTCTTTCTATCTTTTGTTGCTAATATAATTCACTTCCATTTGTTTCCATATAATTATTGGGCTAAGCTGCGGCTCTTCTAATTTATGTATATTAGGCTCGGAAGGAACGAAAGGTTTTTATTGTCTTTAAAGCAGTTTTGTTAGTATAAAAAATTTAAAAATTATTTTAAAAAAAGAATAAGAATATCTTAAAAACAGTTTCTTTGTAGGTACAAAAATTTAAAAATTATTTTTAAAAAAGAATATAGAATATATCTTTAAAGCAGTTTGTAGCTACAAAAATTTAAAATTAATTTTAAAAAAGAATTAAGAACATCGACATCCCAAACGAAACTTCAATCTCCTACTTCATTAACATTTTGCTCTGGCAATTATCATTTAGTAGGTCCAAGCAATTGAATCCTTTGTTTCAGCTGGGAATCAAATGCAAACACCGTAAGTATTTTGGCAACAATGCATGATTATTAAGGAGACGGTATGCATTAAAGTTGTTTGGGGAAGATTGACAAAGTCAATGGGCATCAGTGTGGCAAATTTATAATAGCAAAGGCATCATCATATGGTGATTGTGGTCGAATAACGATAGTTGGAAGATGACAATTAGGGATGACTGTTGAGCTGAGTTGGATAACGTAGTGAGGAGATGGACATCATATGATTATAGTCAGATGACGTTTGGGTTAAATGATCATAGTTAGATGATAGTGATTTAGATGGCTCACGCTGATAGATGATAGTGCTTGGAAGATCAATGACCTATATTAGTGGTCAAGACCATAGTGGATGCCCTGTTGTCCGAGTCTGGGGAAGTTTCATAATTATTTATAATGATCTCTAAGCTTTTTTGAATCTCTAAGCCCAAAATATTAAAATTAAGACAATCAAAACCCAATCTATCAGACAAGAAACATCGACTCTTTTTTACGTCCAATTTACTTATTTGTTTCATGTAAATCAACCAATGTTAGAAAATGATCAAATTTTATCTTGATCAACTCAAATCTCTTTT